CTTCGGCGACGTCGAGAGGCCCTCGATGGGCTCGAGGAAGAAGCGGACGGCGCCGCCGCCGAGGCTGGTCGCGAGCCGCACCGGCGCCCCCCACCAGCGGCAGCGACGAGGCGTACTGCAGGAGCACGGCGTGGATGCGCGCGAGGAGCCCCTCCACGTAGCTCGTGGCGAACCACTCCACCAACACCCCCAGCCGGTCCATCCGCTTCGTGGCGACGACCCCGGGGGCGGTGATCTGGACGTCCTCGCAGGATGGCACCAACATCGACAGCAGCGCCGCCCCGTCCGTCCGAAGCTGGTCGAGAATGAAATCGTTCTCGTCGCGGTCCCGGGTCAACCACAGCCGGACCTGGATCGGGTTCACAATAAACCGCTCCAGCACCACGTGGGTCGCCATGCAATCGGTCGGCACGAGCGCCGCGGCGAAAAGCCGCTCGGCGCTCGGGCAGTCGAGGAGGTGGGGATTCAACACGTCGTCCGGGGCCTCGCCGGGGTCGGCGGCCCGGAGCTCCTGAAGAAAGCCCGCCAAGTACACCAAAAGGGTGTCGGAAACGCGAAGCGCGATCGGCGAGACGTCCAGGCGGAGCTCGTCAATGCACACGACGCCTTTTTCGGAGGTGATGGTGCGCTGGAGAAAGGCCGCGATCGCGACCCCGGCATTGCCCTTGCGCAGCGCCAACACGCAGGAGTGGTAATGGGGCGACTCCTCCGTTTGGTTGTCGAACTGGAAGTTTTTGATGGAAAACTCGAAAACCTCGAAGGTGGCCTTGCGGTTCAGGCTCAGCCGAATATCGCTGATGGCGCCAAAGAGGATGTCCTTGCTGGCCATCACCACCGCCACGGTGGCGGTTTTGAGGTTAAAGCTCAGCCTCAACGGCGTCATCTCGACATCCTTCACGGTGTGCGCAATCGCGAAGGTCGCCTCCCGCTCGATGATCTCCATCACGGTCTGGACGTCCTTGCCGTAATCCACGCGATAGCGCATGCCCCCCGGGGCCCGCGCCCACTCCTCCTCCGTCATCGGCCGCCCGAAGTCGACGAAAATTGGGACGCCGTTCCCTCGGCTGAAATCCCCCTCCCGAGGCTCAATCCACACCCGCATCGCGGTCGGGTGGGTCGAATGCATCCCGAGCGCCCCGCGGCAGCCCGCCTCGACCCGCGCGAGGACGCGCCCCGGGCCGTTCGCCGCGATCTCCTCCATTCGCAGGGCAAATCGCGTGCGGTTCAACACCAAAAAGGGCGCCACCGGCGTTTCGTTAATCATCACGTACGTGTACGGGCTCCGCGCGACCAAGGCGACCTCGAAAAAGCGATTTCGGCCGCCGTGAGGGCCGTCCGCGACCTCCACCCCGACCGTCTCGCTGTGGATCGTCTCGAGGTCGACGGGGAGGCCCTGAAAAGGGGCCTGCGGGGAGGCCAAAAGGTGGATCGCGAACTCCCCTTCCGCCGCCCCGGGCGGGCTGTCCAACATCGGGACCGCCTTCCC